GGCCCGGGGTCCGCCCTGCCCACCCTGGGCTTGCTGCTCCCAGCCGCTCCCCGGCACTGCTCACTGCCAGGTGGGATGGAGCCTGGAGCAACCTGCTCTGCCGGGACGTGTCCCAGAGGTGTTTGGGCACTGGGACAGGGTCAGGTTGGATGTCAGGACAAGGTTCTTCCCCCAGAGGTGTTTAGGCCCTGAACAGCTCCCCAGGGCAGTGGTCACAGCCCCAAGGCTGACAGAGCTCCAGGAGGGTCTGGCCAATGCTCTCAGGCTCAGGGTGCAGTGCTGGGGTGTCCTGGGCAGGGCTGGACTCTGATTCCTGTAGGTCCTCCAAGCTCAGGATATTCTGTGATCCTGTGAAAAATTCCCCTCCATGGGCTGTGCTGCCTCTGGCTGCGGCTGGAACCTGTGTAGGCCAAGCCTGGAGGGGATCGATTTGGTGTTAGTGATGTGGCTGAGGTTTGTGAGGTGTCCCCTGTTCATTAATTAAACTCTAATTGTATGGCTTGAAGCAGGGCTTGGGTTTGGATTTGATGGAAGTGGTTTCCCCTGAGGAGGGAGGTTTGCTCTGCAGGCTCAGTCTGAGTCACAGATCACAAGGGTCATCCTGGCTCAGGTGTGTCCCAGCTACTGTGATATATGCTCCAAGGGCTGGAGCTCCTCTGTCCTGGAGCCAGGCTGGGAGAGCTGAGGGCTCAGCCTGGAGAAGAGAAGCTCCAGAGAGCCCTTAGAGCCCCTTCCCCTGCCTCAAGGGGCTCCAGGAGAGCTGCAGAGGGACTTGGATCAAGGGCCTGGAGAGACAGAACAAGGACCTCCTGCAGTCAGCATTGCCCAGTTTCATCCCATCAAGCAGCAGTGTGATTGCCCAGGGAAAGGTTTGGAAGGACCTTAAACACATCCAACCCCACCCCCTGCCCTGGGCAGGGAAGATTCCACCAGCTCAGGTTGCACCATGAGAAGCCATTTTGGGGCACTACAACTGTGAAAGTCCTTAAAAAATCCCCAAGGCAGAGATCTCTGTTTGGGCCAGTTGGTCAGAGTGTGGTGTTGGCCAGGGCTGAGGAGTCCCTGAGGTGCTGACACCAAGGGCTGGGCCCGGCTGAGCTGCTCTCACTCTGTGCCTTGTGGCTTCACACTCTGCTATGTGAAAGCTTTGACTTGCGGTGTGAAGTGTCAGGAACTCTCTGCGGCAGGAAAAAACAATCTGAGCCTTGTTAGTCACCTGCCATGAGACAAACAGTGTGTGAAAGCCCTTCCAGGAAGGAAGCCCAGGCTGTTTATGTCTCTCCAGACTCTGCCAGATTGGGTTTTTTAGGCTGTGTGAATCCATAGCTGCTGGTTCTGCAGGGTTTGATTTGGGACTCTGCCTTGTGAGAAATGGAAGGCAGAAAGGAGTTCAACAGGTGATTTCAGAAGTCAATACCCTGGTCAGGGAGAGGTATGAATGGAAACACAGACGTGTTCCTTGAGTGAGCTGTGGCAGCAGCTCCTGGGGCACAGCACACTGAGCTTCACGGTGAGACAGCTCTGGTAGCTTCTGCAGTGGTTTGGAAGCTGGTGAGGGGAAATGAGCTGTTTCTGAAGGCTTATGAAAGGCAAAAGCAGCTTAGATATCAGGCAGAAGTTCTCCCTGTGTGGGTGATGAGACACTGGTCCAGGTTGCCCAGGGAGGCTGTGGCTGCCCCAATCCTGGCAGTGTTCACAGCCAGGTTGGCTGAGCCTTGAGCAACCTGCTCTGATGGGAGGTGTCCCTGCCCAGGGCAGGGGTTGGACTGAATGATTTATAAGCTCCATTCCAACCCCTTAACGTACTACAAAACTATGAAGATAATCAGTGTGCAATCAAGGAATCCCAGACTGGTTTGGGTGGGAATGGAAGGTAGAGAGAACCCAGTTCCACCACCTGGCCTGGGCAGGGACAACTCCCACCAGCCCAGGCTGCTCCAAGCCCCATCCAGCCTGGCCTGGGACACTCCCAGGGATGGAGCAGCCACAGCTGCTCTGGGCAACCTGTGCCAGTGCCTCAGCACCTCACAGGGAGCAATTCCTGCCCAATCTCCACCTGTCCCTGCCCTCTGGCAGTGGGAAGCCATTCCCTGTGTCCTGTCCCTCCAGGCCTTGTCTCAAGTCCCTCTGCTGCTCTCCTGGAGCCCCTTGAGGAAGGGACTCTGAGGCCTCCCTGGAGTTTCTCCAGGTGGGCACCCCCAGCTCTCCCAGCCTGGATCCAGGGCAGAGAGGCTCCAGTCCTTGAAGCATCTCCATGGCCTGTGTCATTTACCACCAGTGCCCCTTGTCCTGGCACTCTCTGCCTCTGTAAAAAAACCTCCTCCCTCCTTTCTACAGCCCCATTAAGGTACTAAACTCCTGGCTGAGGAGAAGATGAACTGTTTGCCCTCGTACTTCATCGCTTGTTCATGTTTCTTTATCTGTTAATCACTACCTCTGGTATTTTATTCTGAGACCTTTCTGGGGTGCTGTATAACTAGTGTGTGTCAGGTGTCTGAGGCCACAGATGGTGTGAGATATCTCACCACGTGCCAGACCAGCAGTGAGAGTGCAAGGACAAATCTGTGTGACTGGAAAGTGAAAACCTCTTGTGAGTGAAGAAAAGGTTTTGTGGAGGTCTTGAAAATAGGCAAGAGATCAATAGTTTGGCTGTAAGGAGTCTCAAATAGGTTTGCAATGCCTAAGGAGCCACCTGGGGCCTGAGGTGATGTGTTTTCTGAAGTGCACTGCTCAGAAGTGAGGGCTAAGAAATCAGTAACTGACCTAATTAAACCTTTGAGAGAATCCCAGAATGGTTTGTGTTGGAAGGACCATAAAGATGATCTTGTTCCACCCCCTACCCTGGGCAGGGACACCTCCCACCAGCCCAGGCTGCTCCAAGCCCCATCCAGCCTGGCCTGGAACACTCCCAGGGATGGAGCAGCCACAGCTGCCCTGGACAACCTGTGCCAGTGCCTCAACACTCGAATGTATTTGAAGTGGAGAAGAGGAGGAGGAGGAATGGGTTTGTCTGCAAAGCAGTGAAAATGTCATATCTGGTGCTGGAATTTGGAAACCCAAATTTGGCTCCTGTGCTTGAATGTTTCAACCATTATTTTCATTCCTCTTCTTGCTTTAGAGCCTTCTCCCCAGTTACCAGCACCAAAGGATGTGAAGATTTATTCCTACAACTTCCAGAGCTGGCTGAGGTGGTCTCCAGTTGAGGATGAGAGAGGCTTGGTGTTATACACAGTCGAGTACAAAACGTGAGTAAATAGCTCAGAAACCGACTTGTTGTATCTAATCCACTCACACAATTAATTTACAAAGCCAAAACTAATGTGGCTAAGCACAGTAATTACAGGATGTTTCCTGTCACAGATGATTTTGTGTGTCTAAAACCGACTGATTTGGTTCTAATCCAGTAACACAATGAGTTTTAAACCCCCCAAAAATCCCAAATAATGGCTGAGCCCAGAAATGAAATGGTTCCCTATCACAGATGGTTTTATGTGTCTAAAACAAACTAATCTTGTTCTAATGCAGTTTAACAATTGGTTAAAAGTCTCCAAACCCTAAAAATTTACTAAGCACAGAAATGAAAAGATATTTTCTTTCACATATGATTTTGTGTGTCTAAACCCAACTCGTTTGGTACTAATCCAGTACAACAATTAGTTTAACACCCCAAAAACCTTAACAGTGGCTAAGCACAGGCTCTTGGCCTGGGTATATCCACCAAACTCAGACCAGATTGAAGCCCTGAAGAGCACCCAGAAACGGTGCAGAATTTTAGGGGCTAACTCTAGCTTCCCCCAGCCCCTGAGGAGATGATGGAGGAGCTGAGAGGACCGTGGGGTTTAAACATGTTACTGCACACATGATTCAGTGTTTGACACATGATTTTCTTCCCCAAACCCTGTGTGTGAGGGATGGTGTCACTGTGCTGCAGGTGCTTTATTGGTGCCTTGTTGTGCCTTGCAGAGGAGCCTCTGACCACTGGAGTAATACGAGCTGCACCCGCATCCCCCAGACCGAGTGTGCGTTCCCCTCCTTCATCCAGAGGCGGCGCTGGACGGTGACGCTGAGGGTCAGGGCTGAGCTGGGGCAGATCACCTCGGACTGGAACAAGACAGAGCAATTTGTGGCAGAGCTAAACAGTAAGTGCCATTTTCTACCTCTCCCTGAGGAGGTTTCTTGGAGAAGAGTGTTGCCTGCTGTAGGCTCTTGGGGTGCCCTGTTAGAGTCAGAGGGAGAGGGTTGGAGGTGTTTTGCTCACAAAGACTGTGAGCCCCTAGGATCTGATGCTCCTTGGTTCCTCTGGGGGGTTAGCAGTGTTCTCAGCAGGTATCACAAGACAAGCAAGTGTTTCCTGGGGTGGTTGAGCCTGTGAAGAGCCACAGTGTGTTTCTGTTGGAATTTTCCATTCTCATTTCCCCACATACACATGAAGCCCTTGGATATGTCTGACTCAAACCCACCTGTTTCTGCTGGACAGATTCCTGCTCTGATAAATACAAACTGTCCTGGCTGCACTCAAGCACACACTTGAAACCATTGAATCACATGTGGGTTGGAAGGAACCAGGCTGAGAGAGTTGGGGTTGTTGAGCCTGGAGAAGAGAAGGTTGTGTGGAGACCTCAGAGCAACCTGCAGGAGCTGAAGGGACTCCAGGGAAACTGTAGAGGGATCTGTGTTAGGAGCTGCAGGGACAGGACAAGGAACAATGGGGAGGAATTGAAAGAAATTTAGATTAGATCTTAGGCAGAAGTTTTCCCAGTGAGGGTGGTGAGACACTGGTCCAGGTTGCCCAGGGAGGCTGTGGCTGCCCCAGCCCTGGCAGTGTTCACAGCCAGGTTGGCTGAGCCTTGAGCAACCTGCTCTGGTGGGAGGTGTCCCTGCCCAGGGGCAGGGGTTGGGGCTGGATGATCCCTAAGATTCATTCAAAGCCCTTAACACTCCACGATTCTTTGATACTATGATCTTAAAGCTCATCCATTTCCACCCCCTGCCATGGGGACACCTTCCACTAGCCCAGGTTGCTCCAAGTCCCATCCAACCTGGCTCTGAAGTGTTGGCAAAGCAGAGGGATGGACTGACTGACTTTTCAGTTGAGCTTGTCCCAGAGCTGTGAGGAGCAGGGAGGGCCCTGCAGACTCTGGTACTTTCCCTGGTGACTCAGTTCTAACTCTTGGGCTTTCTGTGGTGGTAAAGAATGAGGAAGTACCCGAGTCCTGCACTGGAGCTGAGAGGCAATGTATCCACAGCCTGTGGTGGATTACTTAGGAATGGGATTCTCTGGGGGCTGGGGAAGCTCTGGGGTGATGGGAATACAAAGCAGAGGTTTGGTGTGGGAGAGCTGTTTGTGTGTTCCTTGAGGGTCAGGAGGAACATTTTGTGGCCATCCTTGTGTGACTCCCCTTGAGATCAGTTCCAAGTCCATGGGCTCCTCCCTCAGAGTTTGGATCAGTCCCACTCCAGAAGGGAGCTCGGGAGCTGGGAGGGCACACAGTGAGGTGTTGGCAGTTGTACAGCAAGAGGAAGGAAAGCGAACGGAAATTTCTGAAACGTGAAAGCCTGAAAGGAGGTTGGAGTCAGGGGGGGGTTGGTCTCTTCCCTCAGGCAACCAGCAGGAGGACAAGGAGGCACAGACTCAAGCTCTGCCAGGGGAGATTTAGGTTAGATATTAGGAAGAGATTTTTTACAGAGGGAGTGATCAGGCATTGGAATGTGCTGCCCAGGGAGGTGGTGGATTCACCATCCCTGGAGGTTTTCAAGCTGAGACTGGATGTGGCACTGAGTGCCATGGTCTAGTAACGACAGTAGGGTTGGACTCGATGATCTTGGAGGGCTCTTCCAACCTGGTTGATTCTATGATTCTCTGCTGATATAAAGATTTGGGGGCCAATTTTCTCTAAAGGAGCAGTGAGCAGTGCTGGGGTTGAGGTGCAGTGAGCAGTGGGTGCTGTTAATGAGCTGTGCTCATAACTTACGCCTTTTGAGTAGAAAAGAAGTTGATAACTGATCTGACATTAGCATGAGTAGGTTTGTTTATGCTCCTGCAGAGCTTTACAGGCACTGATAAGCCTCTTGGAGCAGGAGGTCAGCATGGGATAAATGACTAATGGTCATGTGTGACCTGTAAGCACACAAGTCTCTTGGATTAGACCAAGGCCAAGTGCTGGTTTGGGGCAACCCCCAGGATCAATCCTGGGAGATGCTGAGGCACTGGCACAGGTTGCCCAGAGCAGCTGTGGCTGCTCCATCCCTGGGAGTGTTCCAGGCCAGGCTGGATGGGGCTTGGAGCAGCCTGGGCTGGTGGAGATGTCCCTGCCCTGGGCAGGTTGATTTTTAGGGTCCTTCCAACCCAAACCATTCCATGACTCTGTGATTAGGACTGTCAGTACTTTAGTAGTATTTCTCCTGGTTTAGACCTGCAGAGAAGGAAATTACCATGTTGACCCTAAAGGACAGATGGAGACATCAAAGCAAGGAGGGGGAAGCTAGTTACTCCTCTTCCAATCTATTGACCAAAGAGTGTGAGATTAGAGAACATGGAATGTGTGGCTAGTCAAAGGGGGGGAAAAGGATCTTAATCATATGCCCGTTAACTGCGGATGAAGTGAGATAATATCTAGTTAGTATTTACTGAATTTACAGGGAAAGTTAACAGGAAAATTTTGGGGGTTTAAGTGAACCAGTTTCACTGAGGCTTCCAAGTCTGTTTCCTTGGGTGAGCAATAAAGGCAAATATTGGAAATGCATTAAGTAGATGAGGAAGTGTTTTCACTGTCTTGAACAACAGCTGTTGATACTGTGTTTGCTGAGAGCCAGGGGAGGGTCAGGTTGGCCCTCAGGGAACAGGGGCAGGACCAGAAGAAACACCTAAAGCTGTGCCAGGGGAGGGTCAGGTTGGCCCTCAGGGAACAGGGGCAGGACCAGAAGAAACACCTAAAGCTGTGCCAGGGGAGGGTCAGGTTGGCCCTCAGGGAACAGGGGCAGGACCAGAAGAAACACCTAAAGCTGTGCCAGGGGAGGGTCAGGTTGGCCCTCAGGGAACAGGGGCAGGACCAGAAGAAACACCTCAAGCTGTGCCAGGGAAGGTTCAGGTTGGCCATCAGGAGGAATTTCCCCGTGGAAAGGGCTGTCAGGCACTGGAATGTGCTGCCCAGGGAGGTGGTGGAGTCACCACCCCTGGAGGTGTCCAAGGAGCTCAGGACGTGGCCCTCAGAGCTCTGGGCTAGCTGAGAAGTGGTGATGGGCCACAGGTTGGAGTTGGTGGGCTCAGAGGGCTTTTCCAGCCTCAGTGACTCTGTGGTCCTGAAGCTAGAGCAGTGTGGTGAGCTGTTGTGCATCCAGAGGTTCACTGCTCTCTCTGTGTCCATTTTCAGCTACCCTGGGCCCCCCAAAAGTGACCAGTGTCAGTGTCAGCTCAGACTCACTGCTCATCGGAGTCGCTCCCCCCTTCACACCCGAAGCTGGCGATGACCTCCACTATCTTGTGTCCTACTGGGAGAACACCACAAGTGCTATGAGAAAAGTAAGAACTCTCTGATTTCCTCTGTTTATCCTGACTTTGGGGCTGAGATGTGAGACAGTGTCTCTTGGCAAGGCAGCAGATTGAGGAAGGAAGTGCATGTAATTTTGTGCCTAACAATGAAGGTCACCACTTGGAGTCCTGAGAAAGAGATCAGCTGGGCCTTGGCACAGGTCTTGCTGCATTCCTAACTTCCAAACCATCTCCCTTTCCTCCACAGGAAACACAGGATAAATCCCATGGCAGCTCGAGGCAGAGAACCAGTGTCAAAAGTGACTTTAGACTCCCAGCTCTGAATCTCCCTCCTTTGTCTGGGTCTGTGCTGCTGCTCGAGGCCCCAGAGCTGTGGTGACCAAGCCAGGGGTGCAGGGGAGGTGTTAAGTTCAATTAAATCATGGAAGAAGCTTACAAATGTTTCAGTTCTAAACGGAAATGCTTCAGGAACACAAGCAGAAAAAAGAAAAGCCCTTAATTTCTCTAGAAACTCTTTTCCTTCAAAGGCCTGAATCGCTTTCACTTCCTTCCTGCCTTGCAGCAACGTGTGTTTTTCTGAAACACGTGGAGTCTCTTCCTTTGAGAGTCAGGAAAGGAGTCACTGTGGTGGGGAAGGCACTTCCTCCTCCCCCCTGTGCTCTGCTCCCTGCCTGAGCTGCTGCAGAAGCTGCTTCAAAGCATCTAGGAAAGGTGGAATATATTCCACTGCTTCTCTTGTGCGGCAAACCTGAGTGATGACAGAGAAAATCTGGGATTTTTGAATGCAAAACCTAAATGTGAGGGGATGTCTGTGCTGGGAACAAGTTTGGGATTACAGTAACACCTGTTTTTCTTGTGTCTTTTCAACAGGAGCTAAAGGAAGACAAGACACTATTTAAAATTGGGAATCTAAAGGAATTGACACTTTATTGCTTCAGCATCCAAGTGGAATTGGCGACCTTCTCAAAAGACCCATTATTAGGACAGCCAAGTGGCCCAGAGTGTCACAGCACTGACATCAGTGGTAGGACTGGGATTTTATTCCTGTTTATGTGTGGTGGGATAGGGTAGGATGTGAGTTTTGGGGCATCTGAAATGGTCCCAATTTGTCAGGAGAGCTGGGAGCACCACAAGATGTTCACAGGAGTCATTCAGGGCAAAGGAATTAGGAGTCATCAGTCAATAATTAACTCTTTCCATTTGTGCTTTTCCTTCCTGCTGTAATATGGGATAAGAGTTTGGCTCTCTGGGATCTAAGTTCACCCCGGGCTGGAGTATCTCTGCTCTGGGGATGAGCTGGGGGAGGGCTCACCTGGAGACAAGAAGCTCCAGGGAGACCTTGGAGCCTCTTCCAGTGCTTCAAGGGGCTCCAGAAGAGCTGCAGAGGGACCTGGGACAAGGGCTGGAGGGACAGGACACAGGGAATGGCTTCTCACTGCCAGAGGGCAGGGACAGAGGGATACTGGGCAGGAATTGCGCCCTGTGAGGTGCTGAGGCACTGGCACAGGTTGCCCAGAGCAGCTGTGGCTGCTCCATCCCTGGGAGTGTTCCAGACCAGGTTGGATGGGGCTTGGAGCAGCCTGGGCTGGTGGGAGGTCTCCCTGCCCAGGGAACCATTCCATGATTCTCTAGACATGACTCTGCCATACAGATACATGGGTGTTTTCCCTCTTCCTCAGAGGCAGCCAGAGCTGGATACATTGTCCTGATGGTGGTGGTGGTGTTCCTGCTGGCGCATGTGGTAGGAGGTGGTGTGCTGCTCCTGTGGAAATACCATGAGAAAATCAAGTACTGTGCTCAGCCTCCTCTGCAGATCCCAACACACTTTGAGGAGGTGAGTGGAGACAGTGTTCCTCCCCTGCAGGGGCAGGGCTGAGCTCGAGGGGAAGATGAACAAAGCCAGTAGTTGCCCCATAGAAACAGAGATACACAACTGAGCCTCAAGTTTCTTGTCTGACACCTAATTTCCCCACTTTATTCCTCTTTTACTCAGCTCAGTCATCTCCTTCTGTGTCCAAAGACACAAACACTGTTGTAATCCTGGTAGAAACTCAGCACGTGACTGATCCTGTGTCCCTGTTCCTCTTTCTCTAACTGGCTCAGCTTCACTTGAAGCCAGAAGCTGTTGTGTGCTGCAGGACGTGGCCTGGGGGGCCAGGAATGCGCAGAAATCAGATGTGGAAAAGCGTATTATGGTGGTTTGGAGCCAAACCTGAGCTGGTGCCTCAGGACAAGCTCAGGGGATGTTCCTGGGCTTTCCTTTCACCCTGTGGGTTTGATGCTCAGATGCAGAAGTCACCCAGGGGCTTTCTCCTCCTTGTGGCTCTGACGTTTCTGTGCCAAGTATTGTTGTTTCAGTCCTGCTCACCTTCCTCTTTCTCCTCCTTCATCAGGAGGCAAAGGCTCCAGCCAAGCCTTGAGCTAAGGGCTCAGACTGAGCACACATTCTGGTTTTTGAAGGCTCTGTGTGCAGCTCTGAGGAGATCTGTGTGTGGCAGAGCAGTCACTGCACTCCTGAGCCTGTGCAGATGTTTGTCCAGGGGTTCATGGACATGTGCATGGATGAACTTGGAGTGAGCACAATTTTCTCTCTTCATGCTGCCTCAGCTTCCTGGGGCTCAGATCAGGGAGCTCAGTCACTCAGCAAGTGAAGTGTAGCTCAGGTAGGGGAAAAATGCATAGACACTGCATTGAAAGAGGAGAAAATCCCTTACAAACATATGAGCATTGAAACAAAAACTCTTTGGGTGTAGTCAAATAGTAAAAAATTCCTTGTAATAAATGTATTAAAATAGTAAAAAAGTCCTTGTAAGTGATTTAAAATAGAAAAAAACCTCCTCTTAAGTGTATTTAAATAGTAAAAAAAATCTTTGAAGTGGATACAATAGCAAAATATTCCTTACAGGTGCATTAAAGTAGTAAAAAAAATTCCTTACAAGTGTGTTAAAATACTAAACAAATTCCTTGTAACTGTATTAAAATAGTTAAAATATCTTTAGGTATATTAAAGTAGTAAAAAATTCCTTGTAAGTGAACTAAAATAGTTTTAAAAATCCTCATTAGTGTATTAAAACAGTCACAAAAATCCTTGTAATTGTATTAAATAGTAAAAAAAAAATTCCTGCAAGTGAATGAAAACAGTGGGAAAAATCCTGCTAAGTGTTACAGTAATGCCAAGGGTTTGCCAGGGAAGAGCTTGTCCCTGTGCCTCGTGGAATCTCAGGATACAGCTGGAAAACATGGAGCAGCTCCTCCCACCCAGGCTTGAGCCTGAGCTGGGGCGAAACACGGTGAGAAGTGATGGAAAATAAGGAAATGCATGGAATTTTTGGGATGGACCTGCTGAGGCCTCTCCCAGGGCCAGGAGGGCACAGTGCAGGGTGAGGAGCTGAGCCCTTGGGGCCTGAGGTGCAGGGAGCACAGAGCCAAGTGGAGGTTTATTCCTGCCTGGAATTGGCTGAAGTTCTTAATACACCTGGAGAAAGGATCCTGAGGCTCCTTAGCTTTGCTGTGGCTGCAGAGAGAGGGGAGTCTCAGTCTGAGCTCAGGTTCATTCTGTCCAGCTTTGCCTGTGCTTGTTCCCTTGGACTGGATGATGATTATCCCTGGAAAGCTGATGGCTGAACTTCGGAGTGAAGGGGAACGGAGAGGAAGGGAAAGCTGAGGAGCCCCAAGAGGAGAATGTCACCAGGGGTTTGGTGGCAAGAGAAAGTGCAGCTCTGCCCTGCCCCATCACACCAGGACCTGGGAGCTCCAGGATTCCTGCAGCTGGAGGATCTCTCCAGCTGTGTGATCAGGAAGTGCTTTGCTCTTAACTAGTAGGAATTTTCTTGAACTGACATGAAATATTAGCCAAAATGAATCAGAAAGCCCCAAACAGGAACTGCAGCTGCTTCACCTCCCTTGAAGGGCTCTTGGTGTGATTGATTGGTCTCTCTTTCCCCTTTTCAGCCTTCTCCTTGTTCAGTGTGGTGTGCAGGAAATCCAGGAGAGAATATTCCTGTAGCAGCTCTTACTGGGAGTTCTGTGCTGAGGCAACTTGCTCTGTGTGGAACTCCCAACACAGCTCTGTGGACAGGGATCTAAACTGGTTTCTTCCTGGGTTTTTCCAGTTCTTGAAGGACCCTGGCATGCCTGGCCTGGAGTTGCTGGACAGTCCTGCTGAGAATGATTCCCTAGCTGTTGTGGTGGGAGAATGAAGCCAAGCCTGGAGCAGCAGCTTGGAGGGTCTCACCCCTCCACCCAACACCTCCAGGGACAGTGAGGTCACTCAAGTGCTACCCCAGTGAGTGTCGCCTGTGCCAAAGCTCTGCAGAAGCTGCTCCTAAACTGGGGCAGTGCCAGGACAATCCTGAGGGAGTTGTGGATCCCTGAGCCTGTGTTCCAGTGGCTTCTGCTCTGCCAAAGAGACTGCAAAGGGGGAGTGGGAAGGGAAATGAACACTAAGCTGCTTAAGGACAGCCAGAAGGTTATAGAAGGGTTAAATTCCAAGCCCAGGTTCAAATAAAGCTTGGAGGATTGACAGCACTTTACTGGAAGATGTAAGACAACCTGGAATTTTCCGAGTGAATAATTTCAGGTGAACTGCTTTTACGGTGGTTTTTATGCCAATAGTACTCCCTGTCCCTACCCCAAGCTGCTGTTCTGAGTCATGAGAAGTAGATGGCAAAGGGACGATACTTCCCTGTGCTGGGGCTGAACCCACACCAAGAACTCCTCCCAGAAAAGCCTCTATCTGCCTCTCCCACCCTCAGGGAAGCATTAATCTCCTGCAGCAACACACGTGCCCTGCACAACCAAACAGACTTTTACTCGGAACTCCTACACCACAGACCAGCACTAAAGACACTAAAAGCTCCTGTTGAACACCAGCAGAGGAGAAGTTCCCAGGGAATTATGTTTTGAGTGCCTTAAAGCAGCAAACCCACAAGTTAAGCCTCACGTCCTGTGAGCTCTGGAAGCATCCAATAAAGCACAAACAACAAGTGATGCATTTCTGTACTAAGGAAAAAAACGGGTTTATTTGACTTATTTTTTCCCCTGGGTTTGATACAACTTGTTTAAAAAGAGAGGAGAAAAAAATGTAGTTGTTTGTTTGCCAGTATCTGGTTGGGGTGAGCTGGTCACTGTCAAAGCTGGGGCTGATGCTGTGCCAGCTCTTCCAGGAACACTCCAAGTGAACATGGCATTTTTTTGCCCCGAGCTTTTCACCAGGTGTTTCTTTGTGGAACTAATCTAATCCCCTGGAATTAGGCAACTGTTGCTGCCGCCGGGAAATGCTGTGCAGCCTGATTCCTGCTCCAGGTCTGGGGAGAGCTGTGCTATTGGCCCCAAGCTGCACAGTATCTGCCTTAGTCATCTGGGCTGGGCTGGAACCGAAGGAGGAGCCACAAAATGCACTGTAAAGGCCATAAATAGTGTTGGAATTGCTCCTGGGAATACTTAGCAATGCAATATCAACTTCCTGAATAAACTCTGCATTGGACTCCTCTCAGGGGTGGTAGTCAGTATGTAATTTGGAGTTATTTTTACAAACAGGCTAAAATTAGCAACTGTCAAGGGTTCTTGTCCCTGAGCCCTCCCGGTCCCCCTGGGGCTGTGCTGGAAGTGCCTGTGGTGTAAAAAAGGACTCAGGATATGCTGAGGGTAACCCACATGGGCCTTGCACTGCACCAGTTGTCATCTTGGGCTACTGGAGATGACACACAGAATCACACACTGATCAGGGTTGGAGTGACCTTAAAGCTCATCCAGTCCCACGCCTGCCCTGAGCAGGGACACCTCCCACCAGCCCAGGCTGCTCCAAGCCCCATCCAGCCTGGCCTGGAACACTCCCAGGGATGGAGCAGCCACAGCTGCTCTGGGCAACCTGTGCCAGTGCTTCAGCACTCACAGGGAGCAATTCCTGACCAATATCACTCTGTCCCTGCCCTCTGGCAGTGGGAAGCCATTCCCTGTGTCCTGTCCCTCCACCCCTTGTTCCTAGTCCCTCTCAGCTCTCCTGGAGCCCCTTGAGGCACTGGAAAGGGCTCTGAGGTCTGCCTGGAGCTTCTCTTCTCCAGGCTGAACACTCCCAGCTCTCCCACCTGTCTTATCTTGTCCAAGTGCAGGTACAAATCCTATCCTTGGGATTAGTTCTAGGCCACACTTGTTCCTCACCTTGTTAAAACTCCAACGAGCTCCTGAGCAAGAAACCCTGAGAACAAAACCCCTGGGTTTACTTACTGCCTGGTGTAAACCTTGTGTCACAGAATCCCTGAGGTTGGCAAAGACCTCTGAGCTCAGGTCAGTTATGTATCACAGCATCACACCACAGTATGTCCTGCTTGAGCTACCTGCTGGAGTTCCTCTCCACTCACCTTGTGGATTCACTGCTTGGAGAACAGCACACCAAGTTTATTGCAGTTTGCTGAGAGTACAACCCACCAAACAAGGCTGTGACTGACAGCAGTGCCCACCCTAGGCCTGGCTGCAGGAGGGTGATGTGGGGACAAGGTGACTCCAGCCAGTGGCACAGTGTCAGCTCCAGAAATTGCTTCATCCTCTGGCCACTGGAGAGATTCCCACATGGATGACAACAGCTTCCAGTCATGCACAGCAGTTTGGACACCACTGGGGCAGCAACTCAATACCGTCATAAAAGCTTTGAGTCACAGAGGAGAGTCAAAATGGTTTAGAACCCACAGAGAACTCATGGCAGAGGAGGCACCAACAGCACGTGACAAGCTCAGCCCAAGGCTATAAAACATCCTTGGCCTCTCTGTACACCCCAGAGAGAATAAACTGGATTTCAGTAATGGAAACATCAGGGAATTGAGGAGAAAAGTACATTCCAACTGGGGCAAACAGCTCTAAGCCAGGGCAAGACTGGGCAATAAATCCATCCCTATCCCCACTGGAAACCTCTTTGACACAGGTGCAGGAAAAGTGTTCAAAGCTTCCCCTGGAGAAAACGACACTTCCATGACTGGAAAGATGTTGGTCTGACTCTCCTTTATTCCTTATATCCAACTTGGCATCACTTTGTTGAGGGTTTTTTATTCTAACATCAGGAAAGACATTAAATACTAACTGGTAACTCTTACACTGAGCAGCATGAGATTAATTCCAAGAGCTGTAGTGCCAGGAAATGTCCTTTGTGCTAGAGCAATCCCAGGTCAGGAACAGCTTGATTTTGCCATGCAGAACCTGCTGAGTGTAGGAACTTGCTTAAAAATCCATAACCTTTTCCCAAAAGAAAAAAAGCTACTTTAATATTTACCTGAACAATGATATAAAACTCTTTAAAATCAGGTCCTATCCCTGGTCCAGGGATGGGTTTGTCCTGGTCCAGGGATGGGCTTTGTCCTGTTTGCTCACTAATCGTTCACTGAAGCCTCTGACACAGGTGAAGATTTGGAAGATGAAGGTCTGGAGCTGATGGAACCCCTTGGATTTGCAGAGATAAAGCCATGGCAGCTTGTCATTCCCTTTGAAATATACAGTTCTATGTACATATCCACAAGTGTGTCCTGGGCAAAAGAGGAGCTTCTTAGGGAACCTGGAATTTGGCTCAGTTCAGAGACTTTGGAAAGCAAAAACCAAGAGCAAAGAACTGTAAACGTATCTACATACAGAGAACCAGATGGAGCTCTGGGATGGACATGGCTTGGCCTGAGCTCAGCCCCACAGCTCTTCTGTCCTTCCAAACTTGTAGATCAGAGTGCTGAAGGGAGAAAAAACATGAAAGAATAAAACTCAGAACATAGAGAAGGTAATTGTAACAATGTCCTTCAGTCTCCCTGCAAATCCAGGGACCTGAGCTCTTACTTCAGCCATTGTGTGGGTTTGGGGCTTAGATGTTATCTGCCATTCATGACTGGAGCTCAAATACAAAAATCACCAGTTTCACAGGGAAAAATGGTACTTAAGGAATTCCAGGAGCAATCCCCAGAGCTGCACAGCTGGGATGGACCTAAGCAATCCCATTTCCATGAGCAAATCAGCAACTATTGATCCTGGGTGGGGAAATCAGACCCAAATTAAAATCTCATTTCCAAAATTCCTTCTATAAGGTTGGATGCAATGACATTGCACCCACAGGTTGTGGATGGTCCCATCCTGGGACCAGGCCAGGCTAGAGCAGCCTGGGCTGGTGGGAGGTATCCCTGCCCAGGACAGGAGTGGCACTGGATGAGCTTTAAGGTCCCTCCCAACCCAAACCTTCCGTGATTCTAAGAGTAAAGATTTCAGGCATGGTGAAACCTCAAATTCTGCCTTCAGAAGTTTCCCATTTCAATCCCAGAAGAGAATTAGGAGCTGCAGGAACATCACTATCATCCCAGCAGGGCACTGATCCAGCTCCCTGCAAAGCACTTCCTGTGGGACTGGGAGGAAAATGATCAGCTCAGCAATCTATAAAACAGGAGGTAATGTGAAGCTTTCAGTGACTGATCTTGGAACTGAAACTATTTAACACTCTCAGTGTGTTTTGTTAATGAAATCCATGGACTGCAGGACATATTCTGTATCCAAAAAGAGTCACTACAGCTACCCAATCACTTCCAAAGTGGTTTATGATGGACTTGACAACACTGATTGACATAACTCCAGTGTAAGGTTACAGAACAGCCACGATGCTCTTAGGAAGAGGAACTAACTCTAAGTGAGAGCTCAGCCAGGGGAAGGAAATCTGTGTATCCACTCTCAAAAAACTGAGCCATGGGTGTGATTAGCATGGAAAAAAGGCAACTGAATCTCCCACCTGGATCTGCTGGGATAGATGCCAAGGGATTTGTAGTACAGGGATGATTGCCATTATCCAAAGACACTGGCAACACCTCATCCAGAAAACTGTCTACATCCTTAGCCACCCACATTCCAGAACTGTAAATCTAGGGAGAGCAGAGGGTTGGACTAACAGGAGCATGAGGGGAATGAAGAGCCTCTCATGGGCTCGAAAGGGACAAACAGAACTTGTTCCTAAGCTCTGGAGCAAAAGGAAGAGATAAGAACTTCTTTTTCAAGAGTATCAAGCAGGAGATTCCCTCTGGAAGGAGGGAGGTTTGCCCAGGGAACTTACCTGGAGAATATTAATGCATTTTGGAAAAACACTGCTAGGCCAGGGTAGACATTAGTGTCTGCAAAGCAAAGAAGAGAGGAAACAGTTTATTTGCTCCCTGCATTTGAACACCATTCCCAGTGCCAGTCCCTGAAGGAGCCAGGTGGTGTGTCTGGATTGTGCCAGGCCCCACACACTCCCAATCCACTGAGAATTTCTACCAGAAGATGGCAGGCAAAGTAGTTTTCTAGAGGTCAAAAAATGACCAAACTTACTCTGTGTGACATATGCTCCAAAGAGAATCCACATGGAAGCGATGAGCGATCCAAACATCAGCATGAACCCGATGAAGAGCCAGATCCGAGCACCTGTGGGGAGAGGAGAACCTCTGAGGACAAGTGGAATGCTATCCATAGGGAGACAACACCCAAGTGCTCCTCTGGGGTGGTGGGACATGTGCACTTGCTCAGGGCACAAAGGGAAGGGGTTAAACACTGAATCAAGGGGAAAATATTCCAGCTGCTCAAGCATGGGAAGGAAAAACATCCCCAAGCAAAAGTTCTCCTGAGCTGGTTCATGAGTTACACAAAATCACACCACAGACCAGGTCAGACAGCAGGAAATCCCACCAGATTCCCACAGAGACATCCACAAATCCCATGGAAAAGGATTCACATGGGCAGGAGGAAGGGAATGCTGACTGGAAGCAGAGACAGCAGGTCCATGGGCACCACACTGAGTGTTTGGCTTTGGGATGTCTCTCCAGAGCCCACCCTGAGGCGGGAGCAGAGGGAAGGTAAGGAATCAGTTGAACTATTACAACTTCACCTTTTTAGCAGAGACAGAACTTACCCCCAAGGGTCAGTTCCTTAAAGAAATGAACACACGGAAGTTCTCTCCTACCTCATGTCCTCTGTTTATCTGTTTAACCACCACTTGGAAAATCCCAATTCCCAAACAATCAGCAGGATATTTAGAGCCAACTTACCTGTTCTTCCTAAGCACCCATCACTGTAGCTGTCTCCTCTCACCTGTGCATTGGATACAGCATTTATCCTGCAATGAAACAATAAAGACACTTCAGGTTCTTGGAAAACCAGTTTCAAGGTAAAAGCTTAAAAATCCTGAAGAAATTCCTTGGCATTCTGGAGAGTCACAAATTCCTCCTTCTTTTTAATCACCAATATTGGATGAGCCAATAACAACTGATCCTTCTCCTTCAAGGTTGCCATGTTTACATCTCCATGAGATGTAGGACCACTATTCCCTCTCCCATTTGAGCAAGTTTTGGGCAAGGAACAGATGGAAAAGTGGTTTAATAACAGGCAAATGCAGTGAAATGGTTTATATTGAGGTATGAAATTAAGTAAGTATTAGGCTCCACATCCCTGGGAGTGTTCCAGGCCAGGTTGGATGGCGCTTGGAGCAGCCTGGGCTGGTGGGAGGTGTCCCTGCCCAGGGCAGGGGTGGGATGGGATGAGCTTCAAGGTCCTTCCAACCCAAACCATTCCATGATTTCTCCGTACTAGCCATAGTGTGTGGTAAATCCTGGGTGTTTATTTGCTGAGAAGACACTTGCTCCCCACTCACATGAAGAAAGCCAGCGTGGAGAAGACGCCGCAGGTGTGGAAGGCATGGTTCAGCTGCTCTGGCTTGGGGTACACCACGGCAGCGTCGATCATGATCCACCACCCTGTGAAAAACTGGGAGCAAAACACAGCAGGCTGTGACACACCTGGAAGGACACAGAGGCAGAGCAGCCAGGGCCATGGTCATGTAGCCTAGGGGTTAATTGGCTTTTAATGAGCATAAACTCTTCTAGATATTAAGTCAGACTGTATCTGTTGATGAGCAAGTTCTGCACCAACTTTGGTGTTTGGATGTTGGAGGAGCATTTGGCAATTGGTCACATTCTCCATTCAAATTGAGTCTCAGGGTATGGATACATTTATGTCCAGAGCAGCTGTGGCTGCTCCATCCCTGGGAGTGTTCCAGGTCAGGTTGGATGGGGCTTGGGGCTGGATGGTCTCTAAGGTCCATTCCAATCCCTTACCATACTCTGATTTCATAGTATCAGGACAAGGTTCTTCCCCCAGAGGTGTTTGGGCACTGAACAGCTCCCCAGGGCAGTGGTCACAGCCCCAAGGCTGACAGAGCTCCAGGAGGTTTGGCCAGGGGGCTCAGGGGGCATTGCTGGGGTGTCCTGGGCAGGGGTTGGACTGATGATCCCTGTGGGTAAGCATGGGAACAGACTGGATTTGGATAAGGTGTGGAGCTCCCAAAGTTCTGGATGAGCTCCAAGGTCCCTTCCAATCCCTTACCATACCATGACAATATGAGATACCAGTGATGCAGAACAGTGTTCTAGCAGAGCCAATTATGCAGAAAACACATGAGCAACTCCAATCTTCTTTGAAAGAAGAGAGAGCACAAATGGTTGACCATCAGCAAAGCCACAGGACTCATAAAGGAGCTGCTGACAACCCCAGATTGACTTGGAAGGGTAACCAAATGCCATTTTGAAGAGACAGACTGGACTGAGAGGCAGTTCAGAGGGGAAAATCCCAGAGTATGACCCAGAGATGAACTGTCAGTGGTGTTTCCCCTGGAGTGTGAGCCCCCTGCCCCAACTCACCAGGACTCCAGCCACCACGGAGGCCACGGCGTTCCTCCTCTCGCTCCAGTCGATGCACTCGCACTCTGGCCAGCGGAAGTTGTCCAGAAATCCAGCCATTGCCTCCAAGGTTAGATTGTCCTGCTGGCTTTGTGCTTACACATGAATGTGTCCGTGAACAACCGTGTCCTGAGCACCTGAAACACAGCCAAAGGCACAGGGAATGCAGATGAGCAAAATCTGGAGATGGTGGAGAAGTCTCATGAGCAACGTCCATGATGTGAAGGTTCTACAGAGTTAAGTGTTCCATACAGAACCTTCTGGTGGAAGGTTCCCATGGCAGGAGGTGGAATGAGATGATTTTAAGGTCCCTCACAACCTGTGGCTGCCCCATCCCTGGGAGTGTTCCAGGCCAGGCTGGATGGGGCTTGGAACAGTCTGGGCTGGTGAGATGTGTCCCTGATTGGAACTAGATGAGCTTTAAGGTCTTTCCAACCCAAACCTGCTGTGCTCCATATGGATATAGCTCTCAACACTCCTATTAAAAGAAGACAATACCAGCTGTATTGAAGGGAGCAGTGACACTCTGAGCTGAGGCTCCACAAAGCCACAAGAGCTTGGCCAATGTTTGTCCCCACATGGATTCACAGGGACACAGGGGCAGGTTTTCCCCCTGGATCACAGCCAGGAAGCTCTGCAGAAGGCAGATGCTTTCAGCTAGACTTTCTTGCCTTTATAAAGGCACCAAACTCACTCTCTGGTTTCATCTTTTCCACCCACACAGTTCACAGTGAGGAAAACAGGTAAAGCCCTTGGCATCTGCTGTCCTTCAGTGCCCTTCCCACAATCTGTCTCCTCCCCTTTCCCAAGGGCAGGCAGGTTCTCCCAGTGCTCCCTGGAGACATTCCTCACTCCATGTCCAGTAAACAAAACCACATTAGCGAGAGCAAACTGCAAACAGACACACAAATCACCCCTGGGAGATGCCAGTTAAACCCTCCTGGGTGTGTTGTTGTGTGAAAACACAACAGCAGCTCAACATCTTCACCTGGGAATCAGCTTTTCTCTCCCAGAATGAGCTGATTTCACCTGAACAAAATGTTAGAAGCAGCTGCAAGAAAACACAGGAAATCTGCAGGAAAAAAAACCTAGAATATCATTGGGTTGGGAAAGAACAGAACCTCCTGTGCCCAAAGAACAAAGGGAAAGATAAATGGGAAGAAAAGAAGCTTAAAGTCAAGAGGAAAACTCAGTTTTCCTTGCATAAAACAGCACATTCCACAAGCAACTCCCTGGAATATGCTTTAAGCCACATGCACAGCTGGGGGGAAGTCTGTCAGGAGCTCAGGTGAAGATTTCCAGTGTCACTTTCCCCCACTTCAGTAATTACGTCCAGTTTCACTTTCAGTTCTCCCCAATTCCAAGCACTAGGCTATAGTCTCATTTTTAAGGATCACAGAAAGGAGGGAGTTTTACATGAACTTACACAAAAAACAAGTGTGATATTATTTATATTTGCATTCTTTATGATGCACCCTGGGAGTGTTCCAGGCCAGGCTGGATGGGGCTTGAGCCGCCTGGGCTGGTGGGAGGTGTCCCTGCCCAGGGCAGGGGTGGCACTGGATGGGCTTTAATTCCCTCCCAACCCAAACCAAACCCATTCCATGATTTATCCCTTTCACAGGGAGGTGATGCTGAGCCCCTGAGCCACGTGGCTCTCTGCCTGCACTGGAACAGCACTTTAAGAGCATTATTAAACTTTCAAGACTGGAGAGAGGCAGTTAGAAAACATCAGTCCTGCAATTCTCCACAGGCCAATTCTGTCTAACCACAATGTGCATCAACACTTCTGCAACTTGCTCAGGCCATGACAGGCAGGGTGAGGCACATCCCAAACGCTGCAAGCCAAGCCCTGGCCCAGAGTTACGCTCAGGGGGGAAAATATTTAGCCCCCCCAAAAAAAGTCATTATTAAGAAATAATATCAAAGAATCCTGGAATTTTAGGCGTTGGGATGGAGTTTAGAGATCATCCAGCCCCAACCCATGCCCTGGGCAGGGACACCTCCCACCAGAGCAGGTTGCTCAAGGCTTCAGCCAACCTGGCTGTGAACACTGCCA